TTCAGCCAAGATCTGATATCCCTTATTCTATTGTCTAAGGAGCTCTAGTAGCGTAGTGGTTACGAATCGGGCTGTGAACCACAAGGTCAGCAGTTCGAAACTACCAGCTGCTCCCGTAAAGATTTACAGCCTCAGAAACCCTGTTCAGGGTCACAATGGGTCGGAACCAACTCCACGGCACTTAACAACAACAACATTGTCCCTGTCTGAATCCAGCCTGAACCTCTGGCAGCTCCTTGTCAATGTACTGCTGTAGCCATTTTGAATTATCTTTAGCAAAACTCTACTTGCATATGATTTAATGACATTGTTGAATGATTTCCCCATTCCATTGGATCACCTCTCTTTGGAATGAACACAAATATAGATCTCTTCCAAAAAGTTGGCCAGGTAGCTATCTTCCAAATTTCTTGGCATAGATGAACGAGTGTTCCCAGTGCTCCCTTACTTTGTTGAAAGATTTCAATTTTTATTCCTTCAATTTCTGGAACCTTGTTCTTTGCCAATGATTTCAGTGCACCTTGGACCTTTTCCTTCAGTATCATTGGCTCTTGATCATATGCTACCTCTTGAATTGCCTGAACACTAACCATTTTCTTTTTGGTCTAGTGACTGTGTATTCCTTCCATCTTCTTTGGATGCTTTCTACATCATTCAATATTCAATACTTCAATATTGCAAGTTGAGGGTTGAATTTTTTCTTCAGTTCTTTCAGCTTGAGAAATGCTGAGCATGTTCTTCCCTTTCAGTTTTCTAACTCTAGGTCTTTGCACATTTCATTATAATATTTGACTTTGCCTTCTCAAGCTGCCCTTTGAAGTTTTCTTTTCAGCTCTTTAACCTCTTCATTTCTGCCTTTTACTTTAGCATCTCTATGCTGTAGAGCAAGTTTCAGAGTCACTTATGACATTCATTTTGATCTTTTCCTTTTTTCTTGTCTTAATGACCTTTTGCTTTATTCTTGTTTGATGTTTTTGATGCCAACCCACAACTCTTCCGGTCTTCGGGCATTAGTGTCTAATGCATCAAATCTGTTCTTAAGATGGTCTCGAAATTCAGGTGGGATATGTTCAAGGTCATATTTTGGGTTTTGTGGACTTGTAAATTTTTCTTCAGCTTCAGCCTGAACTTGCATATGAGCAACTGATGGTCTCTTCCACAGTGTCCCCAGGTCTTGTTTTGGCTGGCGATATGGATCTTCTTCCACTGTCTCTTTCCACAGATGTAGTCAGTTTGATTTTTATGTATTCCATCTGGTGAGGTCCATGGGTATAGTCATAGTCCTCTTTTATGTTGTTTTAGAAAGGTATTTGCAATGAAGAAATCATTGGTCTCGTAAAATTCTATCATGTGATCTCTAGTACCATTTCTGTGACCAAGGCCATATTTTCTTACTACTACAGATCCTTCTTCTTTGTTTCCAACCTTTGCATTCCAATTACCAGTAATAATCAATACATCTTGATTGCATGTTTGGTCAATTTCAGACTGAAAAAGTTGATAAAATTCTTCAATTTCATCATTACTAGCTTTAGTGGTTGGTGCATAAATTTGAATAATAGTGGTATAACTGGTCTTCCTTGTAGGCATATGGATATTATCCTATCACAGACAGTTATGGATATTATCCTATCACAGACAGCTATGGATATTATCCTATCACAGACAGATCTTGAAATGTTCTTTTTGATAATAAATGTGATACCATTCCTTTTCAATATGTCATGAATGACATATTAAACCATGTGACTGTCAGATTCAAAATGGCCAATACCAATCCATTTCAACTCACTAATACCTAGGATATCAATGTTTATGCATTCCATTTCATTTTTTACAACTTCCAATTTTTCAAGATTCATATTTCTACACATTCCATATTCTGACTATTAATGAATGTTTACAGCTGTTTCTACTCATTTTGAATTGCTGTCCATCAGCAAATGAAGGTCCCAAAAGCTTTACTCCATTTGCATTATCATGGTCAACTCTAATTTGAGGAGGCAGCTCTTCCCCAGTCATATTTTCAGTGCCTTCCAACCTGAGGGGCTCATTTTCTGGCACTATATCTGACAAAATTCTGGAGCTATCTGATCGTATTCCACTGCTATTTGTAAGGTTTTCAGTGACTAAACATTCAGGAGTAGTCCGCCTCTCATTCTTTCTAGTCTGTCTTAGTCTGGAAGCTTAGCTGAAACCTGTCCAACCTGAGTGACCCTCCTGGTATTTAAAATACAGGTGGTATAGCTTCCAGAAATATGAAAGCTACCTAAGGATGACAAACTGACAGAGGAGTGGTGGATCTAAGTACTGTTGTTGTTAAGTGCCATCGAGTCGGTTCTGACCCATAGCGACCTTGTATAGGGTTTCTGAGGAGCAGCTGATGAGCTTGAACCACCAACCTTGCAGTTCAAATGGCTTTGCAGTCTGGTGCATTAACCCACAGCACCACATCAGGACTCCGGATTTAAGTACTAGTGGCCTCTATAGTCCTTGGTTCATGACTCCATTCACCATCTTAAAAATCAGCAGGGTAGCATCTTCAATCTCTGACTTCTTATTCAGACATTTCTCCTTGCCTAATTCTTCTTCCTCCCTTGTTTTCCTTACAAGGACCCAAATGATAATCTCCCTTCTTAAAATCCTTAATTTAATCACATCTGCAAATTCACTTTTTGCTATGGGAAGTAACCCATTCATAAATTCTGGTGATTAGTACAAGGACATCTTTGCAAGGGTCATTATTCTGCTCCACGGCAACCAACCAACCAACCAACAGTAACTTTGAGAATTTTTCTTAATTTATTTGTTTCCTCATTGGTAATGACCTAAGACACTAAGTTGACTACACTGAATAGGAAAAACATTTCTCATGATATTTTGATAGTAGCTTTATTGAGATATTATTCACACATAAAACAATTTACTCATCTATGTGTACATTTCAATGGTGTTTAGTATAGTCAAAGAGCATAACCATCAGGACATTTCAGAACATTTTCATCTTTCTCCCAATTTTACCTAAGGCAGCAAAAGCTGAGAGGTTAAGAAAACCTGCTTAGAGTATTATCTATCTGACAGGGCTGGGACAATTCAGGGGCTCAGTCCCATTCCTTAAATGAAGTCAGGCTAGTCATCTGGGACCGGTGTAGGATAGTTAAACCAGCAGTCTCTTCGGCTAGGTCTGGTTTCAAAGCATGGTTTTTTAAAAGTACTATATGACCTTGAGTAACACCTTTTGGCGCCGGGTTTTTCATCATTTGAACTATGAGAGTAATTCAATCCACTTTAGTTATCAAAATGTGTAAAATGAGGGGCTAGACTCACTTCGAAGATCCCTTCCAGCCATGTAATTCCAAGCTTCAATGAAGATAATTAAAAATAAATTCCCCAAGTGTCCTGTGCAACAGGAGAGAAGAATTCCCTGAACACAGGCTCACACGTTTCCCTTGTAACCTCGGGGCACCTGGCACCTTCTGAAAACGACCCTTTCAAAAGCAGAGCAGGGTGGAAAGAGTTGGGAGACTGTCAGTGGTTCTCAGAGCAGAAACTGGGATAAGGAAGACCGGAGGCAGCTCTTCCCCAAGTCTCGGCGATCCCAGCGGGTTCTAGAAGAGCGATATGGAGGCGGGTTCTGAATTAATCTTCAGAAAGACGTTAGAGCACATCACTAGACGCAACGCGGGGCCCAGCACCAGTTCCGCTCATACGTTCACTACACTTCTGTTGAATCGGATTCGACTCATAGCGACCAGGACTCCGCACTACACTTAGTATGCTCCATAACAATCAACTGCGTCCCTCCTGCGTGTGATTAGTACAGGCCGAGCTGCGGGCGTCAGCACCCAACTAAAGACACGCCTATTGACAATCCCCTACCTCTGATTGGCTGAAGAATTTAAAGCTCCGTCTGGTGATAGGGTAAGGTTCTACCCCGAGTATTTGAAAATTCCTAGTTGCAGAGTTTTGCATCCCCAGCCAGATCCGCTCAAGTTATTTTGTTCGTCCGTTTGCCGGAGCTACAGAGCACGAGAGCAGAAGAATAAGAGAGTGTCCGCCTGAACCCGAGGTGGGGAGTTGGAGAGTTTAAATTCTTCTTGCAAGGGTTGGGAACTTTTTTTCTGCCAAAATTTATAACATCATGCCCAGACCATGCAAAATTATCTATTTAAAAATTAGGGTGCTATATTTGATCAAACATTTAATTAACTCATCCCTAAATGATTTACACCCTCGGAAACCCTGTACAGGGTCGCTATGGGTCGGACCCGACTCGATGGCACTTAACAACAACAACAAAATGATGACTGGAACTGCTATTGCCTTGGCAGGGCCTTACCAAATGATTTCGCCGACCTTATATGGCCCTCGGGAGTCCTGGTGTGGTGCTGTAGGATAAACACTGGCCCTCAAGGTCGGTTTGAACTGCAAGGTAGGCGGCTGAAACTCACCAGCTGCTCCTCGGACACCCTATATAGGGTCACTATGAGTTGGAACCAATTCAACGACATTTATCAACAACATACGTTCCCCACCCCTGTAAGAGTTAGTTAGAATCTCTGCCGGGAGGGTGCAAATAAATGGGGTCAGACGGAATGAAGTGGGAAGCACAGACTCACCTTTGTGACTTATAAAGGAAAAGCATGAGCTTCCACTTATACACAAGGAATGATGAGAACAGTTAAACCAAGACCTGTATTTGGAAGACAGAAGGTTCTTATTACCTGGCAGCCCCCTGCCCTTATCACGTGGAATTTCCCTGCTTCCTAGAGAGTGGTCCCTAAGGATTCCCGTTTACACCCTGGATCTCTTGGGAGGGGTCTCCATTCTCCAGCCAATATGTTCCAAAATCTTGGGTGCATGTGACACCGCCCATCAGCCGCTCCAGAATTTGTAACCCATGTGTCCTCAACCGGATCCTCTAACTTTATACCTCCCAATATGCCCCTGAGCCCACCGTGACCCCTGCGTTCCCGTCCATTCGCAGACCAGCTTCTGCGATGCTGTCGGGCACCGAAACCGAGGCAGCACAGTGCGAGGATGCGGAGCTGCGATGCCGCGTGGCGGTGGAGGAATTAAGCCCCGGCGGGCAGCCACGAAAACGTCAGTCCCTGCGCACAGCAGAACTGAGCCTGGGACGCAATGAGCGCCGCGAACTAATGCTGCGGCTGCAGGCGCCGGGGCCAGCGGGTCGTCCGCGCTGCTTCCCCCTGCGTGCCGCTCGCCTTTTCACTCGCTTCGCTGCAACGGGGCGCAGCGCTCTGCGTCTCTCCGCAGAAGGCGCTCCCCGGCCGGGCGCCGGCGCCGTGCAGCTGCTGCTCTCCGACTGCCCCCCGGACCGCTTGCGGCGCTTCCTACGAACTCTCCGCCTCAAGCTGCTGGCTGCCCCAGGCCCCGGGCCTGCCCCTGCCCGAGCGCAGCTGCTAGGCCCGCGGCCCCGTGATTTTGTCACCATCAGCCCTGTTCAGCCTGAGGAGCTGCGACGCGCGGCGGCTACCCGACCCCCAGTGGCCACTCCAGTGAAGTTGTCGAAGAAGCCCCAAACTGGAACCGGACACTTTAAGGTGAGGACAGGAAAGGGAAAGCACCTTTGGGAATGAGTGTGGCATTTTTATAACAGGAAAAGACTAAGTAGGCCCAAATTTGAATGGAAGATAATAGGGGTGGTGGTATTTGAAGAGGCTGCTGGTTATCTCAGCGGATATGCCCATTTGAGTAGGAGGGGCATGTGGGAACTATGCATGTTTTCTCATAGTGCAATTCTTTGAGACTGGGTAAGACAGAGCAGGAAAAGGGAGCCCAGGCCAGAGCCTTGGGGAGCATCCACATGCAAAGAAGCAGAGAAGGAAGCCTGAGAAGGAAAATGAAAGTAGCCCAAGAAAAGAGAGAAACTTTGGGAGAGTGAAGTGGTCAGCAAAACCCTCCAATAAGATGAGGTAGAGAGGCAGTCAGACTTTGACAGGGCTGGTGAACTGGGACAGGTGTATGCAGACGATAGGCCTATGAGATACAGCAGCAGTGAAGATGGAGATGTAGTAAGAAAGGTCCCTGACTAGAGAGGGTTTTGCTTGCCTGTTCTGAGGTGAGAGAAACAGGTTTGTGACAGGAAGTAAGAAGAGGCTGGGTAAGCGGGCAGAAGGTTAGACAACCCTGCGGAAGGAGCTGGAGAAAGATCCAGATCCACACAAGGGGTGGAAGGGCACCAGAGGCGAGTTCCTTCCTCAGGGAGAGGCCTGGAGAGCCCTGCTGCCACCATCTCCAGATGAACCAGGGCTGGGGACACATCCCAGTTCATCTCTGCCCAAGGACTCTAAGGAGTGAGGCCAGCAAGGAAACAAAGGGCTTCCAGGCCTGGTATTATACCCAGGCCAAGAATGGGAGCAACATTAGGGAGGGGACCCTTAGGTAACTTTGTCCCCTACTTCCCCCAGGAAGCCCCAAGGTGGCCCCTGCCTGTGAAGAAGCTGAGCTTGCCCAGCACCAAGCCACAGCTTTCTAAGGAACAGGCTGCCGTGCTGAGGGTCGTCCTGAAAGGCCAGAGCATTTTCTTCACTGGAAGTGCAGGTAATAGAGGACAGAGCAGGGGTGGAGGAGCAAGGGACATGGAAGGGCAAATGGCTCTGACTTTGTCCTCTGCTTAGGGACAGGGAAGTCATACTTGCTGAAGCGTATCTTGGGCTCACTGCCTCCCACAGGCACTGTGGCCACTGCCAGCACTGGGGTGGCAGCCTGTCACATTGGGGGTACTACCCTCCATGCCTTTGCAGGTAAGTGGGCGTCTCTGGGGCTTGAACTAGGAGCAAGCCAGACCTGTGGGAAAGGGAAGGGAGTATGAGTTGAAAGGGGGCTAGGGGCTCAGTCAAGGCTAAATAATGTCACTCACAGGCATTGGCTCCGGCAGAGCCCCCCTGGCCCAGTGTGTGGCCCTGGCCCAGCGGCCAGGTGTGCGGCAGGGCTGGCTGAACTGCCAGCGGCTGGTCATTGATGAGATTTCCATGGTGGAGGCAGACCTGTTTGACAAGCTGGAGGCTGTGGCCAGGTCAGTGTATGAAGTGCGGACAGAAAGTAAAGTCTAGAGTCTGGTGGTCTTGATGTGGGGAACCTGTCCACCCCAGACCCTAAATCACCCCATGCCCTTCCCCAGAGCTGTCCGGCAACAGAACAAACCCTTTGGAGGGATCCAGCTCATCATCTGTGGGGACTTCCTACAATTGCCACCTGTGACCAAGGGCTCTCAGCCCCCACAGTTTTGTTTCCAGGTACTGCTCACCCTCTGGCCCACCCCCTCCGCCACGTGGGGGTCAGCTCTGCTCCCTGACTCATCCCTACCCCACCAGGCCAAGAGCTGGAGGAGGTGTGTTCCAGTGACCCTGGAGCTGACTGAAGTATGGAGACAGGCAGACCAGACCTTCATCTCTCTGCTGCAGGCTGTGAGGCTGGGCAGGTGGGCCCTTGTGAAAAGGGAAGGGACCACAGGGTGAAAGAGAAACACTGGGAACAGGGAGAAATGTTTGTCCTACAGGGAGAGGAGCCTTGGGCAGGACAAGGGAAAGATGGCAGATAGATACATAGAAGGAATTCAGAGATGTTCATAAGCCATTTTACAGATGCAGAAACTGGGGTTCAAAGAGGTGACGTAACCTGACCAAAGACATAGGCAATAGACAGCCAAAGTGGCCTAATTGGGATTGGAAGTCAAGTCTGTCTTGACTCCAAAATTCAAGTTCCTTCTGCTGTTAGAGTCTAAGAGGACCACTTGGTGGGGAGGTGGACAGCCCTGTAGACATAGGGCCTCCCCAGCCAGGACAAAAGACTGGAACGCAGTGGCTATTCTAATGGGAGAATGGAAAGGAGGCCAGGAGGGTAGAAGAAATAGGTCCAAAGCTGGGCCATGAAAGACAGGTTCAGCTGGGCATGAGATGGTGAGGGGTCTTCTTACACAGATGCGGGAGGCAGGTAGGAAGGTGTCTAGTACACATGGGGCATGAGAGGAAGGCTCGGTGGTAGAGCAGGTAGATGGTCCCCAAGCTGTACCCCTTCTCCTATTTGAGCAGCTGCTGTATCCAAGCTTGAGACTGGGGAAAAGAGAACACAGGCTGGAGTTTTGCCCCCAAGGCAGCATGCAAGGGCAGGGGGCTAGAGGATTATCCCCTAGAGGCTGATCTGAGTCCCAGGTTCCTTATCTAAATCTTCCAAACCTCTGGTCTGTGCTCTCTCACCAACTACCTCAAGTAGTTTCTCCTACCTGTCCACCCATGAGTCCAGCCCAGCACGCCCCGCCCCTTCTTCATGCTCATTCCCCATGTCTGGGGTCCAAGTGAGGAAGGGACAGAACAAAAAGCGGCTAGCAAATTGTCCTTTCCAGCCCAAAGTCTGGCTCATGACATGCTACTTGGGTCATAGACCCACATTCCCTGCGTTCATGTGGGCGCTGCCCTGACAGCCTGGCCCCCACAGGTGCTCAGCTGAAATGACCCGCCAACTCCAGGCCACGGCTGCCCACAAGGTGGGACGGGACGGGATTGTGGCCACGAGGCTCTGCACTCACCATGATGATGTGGTCCTCACCAATGAGAGGCGGCTACAGGACCTGCCAGGTGAGCAGGGTGCTAGGATTGGGCAGAGCCAGCTGCGGGAGCTCCCTGCAGCCCATCCATGAGGTCTTTTGGAAATCCATGCTGTCAGACTCAGTAGCCATAAAGGCCCTTATAGTTGCAGATGGGTATAGCGAATCGGCCAATAAGTGCTTGAACTGACACTTGAACCCAGATCTCTAGTTCCAAGGCCTCAGCTAAGCCTAAACTGTCTCCACAGAGCCCTTTCTTTAGCCACCAGACCCCTTTTCCTCCACCACACCCCCATCTAGCAAGTTTTTGGAAACTAAATCACAATTCAGTGATTTACTATCTATTTTTTCCTGACTTTTCCCAGGTGAGCTGCACAGCTTTGAGGCTCTGGACAGTGACCCAGAGCAGGCCCGGACACTGAATGCCCAATGTCCTGCTAGTCAGCTCCTTCAGCTAAAGCTGGGAGCCCAGGTAAGTGGGAAGCAGGACCTAGACCCTGGGAACTTGGTTTGTCCTGCATGACCTCCTTGTTTCTTGCCTTCTGCCCAGGCAGTTCCTCAACCAGTAGGCCCAGGCATGACCACACCCAACCTTCCTCCCTCCTATTTTCACTCTTCAGCTTTCCACTGCCCTTTCCTCCTTCCCCGAGAGCTCCAAGCAGAGTTGCCTTGGGCAAGTCCTTTCCTTTACTGAAGTGCAGTTTCATCATCTGTAACATGAGGTGCAAGTGACAGCTCCATATGACTGTCTTCTGTGCTGTACACTAAAATGTAAGGTCCCTGCTTCCACCCGTGGGGGGTAAATGGAATGGGAGACTTTCTTCAGATCCCAAAGGGCATCCACTAGGAAAAAAGCAAGTACAGTGTGCCGGGGTGAAGATGGTAGAAACTGGGGGTTATTCCTCAACACTGTGGCCCACTTACATACCTATATAGGATTTTCAAGACATCAATCTTTACAGGAGCAGACAGTCTCATCTTGCTCCATAGAGCAAATGATGGGTTAAACCTCGTAACTTGTGCTTGCTGCTCAATGCTTATTCCATAGCACCAACAGAGCTCTTTACTCAGGGACCCTTACTCACGCGCTGATACCTGCTACTTCACCGATCTTTACTACTACCTCCTAACGTCCCCTGAATACATGGTATCTTCCTTTGGCAACAAGGGAAAAACTGGGACCCAAGGATCACAGCCAATCAGGGACAGCCACGTGGCTCCAGCCTCTAAGCACAGTGCCCCCTGGAGGTGAGGCCGGCTCCTTTCCTCCTTTTCTTTTACTCTTGTAGGTGATGCTGGTGAAGAACCTGGCAGTGTCTCGAGGCCTAGTGAATGGGGCCCGAGGGGTGGTTGTTGGGTTTGAGGCCGAGGGGAGAGGTAAGTGATGGGGGAAGTGGCAGTCCTCCTGCCCCACTTTGGCTGTGCAGCAGTGAGGAGAAGGCCCCTGCTCCCACTGTGAGCCCTGAAGCATGGCTGAAAGCTTAGATTTCTCCATGCCTTTTCAGGGCTGCCCCAGGTAAGATTCCTGTGTGGAGTCACCGAGGTCATTCGTGCTGACCGCTGGACGGTGCAAGCCACTGGAGGTCAGCTCCTCAGCCGGCAGCAGCTGCCCCTCCAGCTGGCCTGGGCAATATCCATCCACAAGAGCCAGGTGAACACCCAGGGCTGGGGTGGGGACAGGGCAGAGGGTGGACAAGATAGGCCTGGGATACCTTGAGGGCTGTTTGTGGGGGGCGTGGTCTTGGAGGCTTTATGGGGATTGAAGTTACCCTGGATGGAAAACTCGGGACCCAGGAGTATAGAAACCTTCCTTTAGTGTATTTTCTACCCGCCCCATTCTCTGCCATTCCCAGACACATGTACTTTCCTCTGCCCTCTCCACCCCACCGTGTCGTGAGCCCCCTGTGTCCTGGTGTGGCACTGTAGGATAAGCACTAAACTGCACAGTCAGTTTAAATCACAACATTGGTGGTCCAAACTCACCAGCCGCTCTCAGAAACTCTATACAGGGTTGCTATGAGTTGAAACTGACTTGACGGCACTTAAGAACAATAACAACTAGATATGTTCAATTTAATCCTGCGTCGATATGAAGTATCGATATAATTATCATTCCCATGTTACAGAGGAAGACGCTGAAGTTCAAAGAGGTTAAGTAACGTGTCCAAGGTTACACAGCTAGTGAGTGGCAGAGCCGGGATTCTGCTCCAAGGCTGAGCTTTTTCCTTTCACCCTTAAACCTCAACTCTTATCCTAGATCTGTAGGAACGTCCTTCCTCAGGCACCCATCTGCTGTCAGCCCATGACCTCTGCTTCTAACATCTCTGGACTGGGTGAAGAGACCCAGGGGTGGAAGCTGGGCTGGCAACAATGGGGTCAGACTTTGGGGCACAAGGGCTTCAGGCTGAGGAGACTTCATCTCTGTTCCTCCATCTCCCAGGGCATGTCTCTAGATTGTGTGGAGATCTCTCTGGGCCGTGTGTTTGCCAATGGCCAAGCCTATGTGGCCCTTTCTCGGGCCCGCAGTCTGCAAGGTCTGCGTGTGCTGGACTTTGACCCCATGGTGGTATCCTGCGACCCCCGAGTGCTACGCTTCTATGCTAACCTGCAGCGGGACAGGGGGCTCAGTCTGGTAATAGGGAGTCACCCAATGGTGGGCTATATGACTGCAGAGGGGTGGGGCTGTGGGGTAGGACTGAGGAACACCCAGTGGGACCCTGGAGTGGGGATCAGTAGAACTCTCTGCTGACTCTGTTGGGGACTAGGCAAAGGGAAGGAGATGCTGGCCCCAGGCTGAGGCCCTAAGGAACAACATATCCATAATTAGCTTCTCTGGCTTGGATCCAGGAGTCCCCAAATGATGAAGAGGCAACCTCGGACCAGAATGTGGATCCCAACATCTGAGCTCAGCCCCAAAGAGAAGACCAACGCGTTTCCCCATCCTCCTGCTCACTGGTGGGGCAGGTCCCTAGGGGTAGCTGGGGAAGGGTGACTGTCTCCTAGCAGCTGATTCCTCCCCTTTGCCCTGGGTGAGCTGCTTCAAGGGCCAGGAATAACTATTTCTGTGCCAGCTGGGAAGGTGTCAGAGGACAAAGCTGTGTGTGTGGGCTGGCCAAAGAGCACAGGGTTCTGAATGCTGCTTGCTCCCTTTGTGCTGCAGAGGGGAGAGGCAACCCAGCCAGGCACTGAGAACACGACCAGGCCTCTCTTAGGGGACCTGGGGAGAAGTCAGGTCAGAGAACTGGGGGAGAGGAGTACAAGCCCAGACCAAAGAACCGGAACTCAGGGGATATTTCTCCAGTGAAGCCCATCCCAGTCCAGCAGAGCTCAGATAAGCACCTCCTGGGCCTAACACGAGAGCATACACTAAACATGTGTGCCATATTAAAGCTGCTATCCTGCAAGGGAGAATATTTGAGAGCAATGAAATGAATGTTGTCAGACTATTTATTTAAGACAAATAAACGTGTGAATTATGCTAAGAACTGTGAATCTTCTGCTCTCGTTAAAAGTCCCAGCTCTGCCTGGGACTGGAATGCCTATCAGGAAGGCTTGCTCCTGCTTGCTCTCTCTTACCCTTTTTCACTTGTGCACATACACACCATTGTTGGTTTCTACCACACTGGCTATTACAACATCTTACGTGAGTTGGGTTGTTTGGGAAGTGAGGTATCTGTGGGTGATGACTAACATGAAATGACACGGTAAATCACATCACCCAGTAGCCAGACAACAACACACTAGAGAATACACATGGAAGGATATAGGGGAAAATGCTGGTGGCCTCAGTTGAAGCTTTTTCAGTTTGGGCCTGGGCTAAAGTTCCAGCCAAGGACGTTTTGACAGAGAAGAAATCATCCACAAACTACATTCAGTTTATCAAAAAGTTTGATGAATGGGGATATTGTGGAGAAATTGGAAACCCTCATCTATTGCTGATGGGATTCTAAAATGGAATAGCCACTGTGGAAAAGAGTTTGGCAGTTCCTCAAAAAGCTAGAGACCTCCAGCAATGTGATGGACTAAGCACAGACACTACACAGACCCTCTACATCAAAGCTACAAGAGGCCAAGTAAACAGCAAAGATAAAAAAAAGTAGAGGACAATAAATGCTGGCGGGGATATGGAGAGACTGGGATACTCCTGCATTGTTGGTGGGACCTCAAAATGGTCCAACCTCTCTGGAAAGCAATATGGCGCTTCCTCACAAGGTTGGAAATAGAAATACTTATGATCCAGCAATTCTTCTACTTGGTATTTACCCACAAGAAATACGAGCTATATCACGAGTAGATATATGCACACCAATGTTCATAGCAGCACTATTTACAATAGCAAAAAGATGGAGACAGCCAAAGTGCCCATCAATTGAAGAATGGATGAACAAACTGTGGAAGAACAAAGTGGATGGGAGAACAATTAGGTAGGTTTGCATGGGCTAAGTGGGATAGAGGTAAATAATGATATATGCACAACCTTGGAACAACAGGACTCAGGGATAGAGGGATTGAGACATAGTTGGAATGGGGATAATGGGAGAAATAATGTTAAGATGCTTGGCTGTCTTTTGAATCTTGGTTTCCCTTGCATACCATTATAAAATAGACACTGTAGGGGGAGAGAAAGAAATAGCCAGAAATATCACCATAGACAGTTGTAAGTCCGTCTTCTGCCTATAACTGATTGGAATACCTAAAATGGGGCTACAATGTGCCCAGTGAAGGAGGCTTCCTGTGGAGCATTACATAAGACTCCAGGTAGAATCCTCAACAGCATCCAGAATCTTCAGAGGTGGGAAATTTCCACTTGAAAGGACAGGCAGATCAGCCTGGAGCAGCTAGAAGAACAGAAGATACTTCTTGAAAGACCGACAGGAAACATACGAAACAATATAGGCAGACCGATTGACTACTACAAGAACAAGCCAAGTTGCTCATCCAGGAACCATCAAGACAAGTGGTCAGGTCTCCTCAGAGCAAACCCCCTTCCAAGACTAAGATTCAATGGGAATACACGCTCAGATTGGTGACCACGTTCATCACCGATAAGGGGATGTGAGGGAAAAACAGCAATGAAGCTGCGAGCTAAGCCCTACAACATTCGATAGACTCCTGTGAATCCAGGTGGAGACCTGGTTGGCCAGCAGTGTGGCAAGATCTGGGGACTCTTGGACCCAGAGTCAGTGACATAGCCACAGAGGACTACAGTGGAGAGTGAAGCGTCCAGCTGATAAGAAGAGAGGGCATATGCACAAGAACACCCATACTTGCAGATAATACCCACGACCTGGCTTCAATGACTGGATGATCAGAGCTCAACTAGAAGAGGAAAAAAAGAGTAATCTGATACAACTTGATGAACTTGACCTACACCTATGGATGCAGTAGCTCAAAAGAGGGAACAAATCTTTACAGCAAGGATCATTCCCACCCCCTCCATACACAGAGTAGACCGGGATGGGCAACTTGGACATTGGCTACTCAAACTGAGGGGGTTACAAAGGCAAGAAGTGACTGGCTTGTAAGCTTTCAAGAGGGAAGTTAGATTCATAGGGCATGGAGGAAAGTAGAATCTCCACTGAGTAGTATACAATCTGTCTAGGCGGGGCTGATGAAATGAAATCCAGATGGATCTCTTATGATACAATAGTGAATAATTGTTATCTGGACTGCTTATGAGGGTTGGAATTGTAAAGGTAGATGTTTTGTAGCAAGGAGGGGAGTGATTAACTTTTCAGCCTAGGAGCAGAGGTCCCTGGGACCATCAAGGGAGAAGAGCGGAGAGCAGGACCCTACCCAGAGAAGCAGTGATGCCTTAGATGGATGCAGAGACGACGACTTGGAGAGATGGAGCTGTTGGGGACTTTAGACCCAGAGGGGGAGAGGGGCTGTGTGCTGATGACCGGGGGACAGGCTTGTAGTGTATACCCTCTGGTTGGTTAATGATGCATGGAGGGGATTGTAACCACAGCAATGAAATGAATGTAAAACTAATGTTCTCCCGTATAAACTATCACACAATTCACAATAAAATATTTAAAAAAAAAACAGCACACAATTATATATGAATTCTGGTACCACACTGTAAGATAAACACTTGACCTCAAGGTCACTTTGAACTTCAAGGTTTGCAGTTCAAATTCACAAGCCAATCCTTGGAAACCCTATATAGGGTTGCTATGAGTCAGAATCAACTTGGTGGTACTTAACAACAAAAACAACATATATATGCATGTTATTTAAAAGGAGATATATACATACAATGGAATACTATTCAGCCATTAAAGACAAATGAAGGTCTGATACATGCTACAACACTAGTACCCTAAAAACAAAGTGAAACAAGTCAGTCACAAATGTACGACCCCACTTACATGCAATATCTATCTGTAATAGAGAAGTGCACAGAGATCAAAGTGTATTAGTGGCTGCAGGGGTGGGTGGAAGAGAGGGGGAAATGAAGACAAGTTTAGGGGACATTCAGAGTGATAGTCCTGGTATGGCACTGAGAAATAATGCACTGCACCACAAGGTCCGATGGAACTACAAGGTCAGTTGTTCAAATTCACCAGCTGCTCCTTGTTATTGTTGTTAAGTGCCATCGAGTCGGTTCCGATCCATAGTGACCCTGCATAGGGTTTCTGAGGAGTGGCTGGTGAGCTTGAACCGCCAACCTTCTAGTTCAAAAGGCTGTGCAGTCTGGCGCATTAACCCACAGCACTACACCAGGACTCCAGCTGCTCCTTGGAAACCCTATAAAGAGTCATTATGAGTCGGAACCGACTCGAGGCACTTAAGAACAACAAGGTGATAGGAGGAGCTCCGATGGCACAGTGATTGAGCGCTCAACTGCTAACATGGGGAAAAGACGTTGCACTTTGTTTCCATAAAGATTATAGACTTGGGAACCCTATGGAGCAATTCTACTCTGTTTTGTGGGGTTGCTATGAGTTAGAATTGACTTGGCAGCAAGGGGTAAGGGTAATGGAAAGATTTGGGAATGATGGTAGATGAACCAAATGAACATATTTAAGGTCACTGAACAATCCATGTGAAGAATGTTGAAATGGCAGATGTTTCGACATCTCTGCTGTAGCACTGTAGGATAAGCTTCTTGTTGTTGTACAGTGCCGTCAAGTCAGTTCCAACCCATAGCAACCCAGTATAGTTTCCAAGGGACAGCTGGTGAACTTGAACTACTGACCTCATGGTTCAAACTGACTTTGCAGTCCAGTGCATTAGTCACAGTGCCACATCAGGGCTTCTTAGAATAAGCACTGGACTGCAAACCAAAACAGTCGGTGGTTCACATACACTAGCCACTCCTCAGAAACACTAAACAGAGTCACTATGAGTTGGAACCAACTCAACAGCACTTAACAACAGCAACATATTTACCACACACATGCTCTGGTGGGGATTGTCAAGGGACTTTGGAATTGACTATAATTGTTTAGGTTCTCTACCCTGGAGTAGAAAGGTATCAGTGCTAGGTGGTCAAAAACAGATCACAGCAGGAGTATGCACTGACAGCTACTGGTGTCTTTGATCAATAAAAAAGCAACAATAACCACTAAAATGTACAATCACCAATGGGGGAGTATTAGAACATGACAAAAGCAGCTGTCTATGCCTGTTCTTAGGGAACATGAAATCTGGGTGCTCAGGAACCTTCTGGTAGACTACTGATGTGGGGACTCAGTGCTGTGGTGGTTCAGAGGGGCTCTGGGGGCTCAGACCTTCACTCTGACTGAGTCTGGTGGAGGAAGCAAAGCTAAAGTCTGTGGTTTCAAGAAATCCACCTGGGTTTACGTCTTGATTTTGCCATTCACCAGTTGTGCAACTTTAGGCTTTTTACATATCCTCTCTGAGGGTTTCCTCACCTATAAAGTACAGGCGGTAAT